CACGGTGATATTGGGGCGCCCATGCGTCTTGCACTCCCATACCGGCAACGTGAGCCTGCCCACCACGCCGAGCGGCCCATAAAACACAGCTGCCTGGCTGCCCGTCTTGTGCAACTCACAGCAGCTGCCATTTTCTGCTGCTAAGTGGCAAGGAAGCGGCTCCATGCTGGCCAGCTGGGCTTGCCGCTGCTGGAGCTGCTGCTGGCGCTCCTGCCGCTGCTGCGCCGCCCGGCCCGGCAGAGAGGCCAAGAAGGCATCCACGTCCGCTCCGAGCCGAGCCTCCCAGTGATCACGTTTGCGTCCTTGCCGGTCGCCCCAGCCTAAGAAGCCGCTGGGTGCTCGCTCATCCTCGTTGTCATCCCTCTCACCCCGCCGCCTGGCCTGCCCTGGCACATTGAAGGGAGCTTGTTGTCCTGGTCTACTTGCACGGGATCTTTTTGGCTGTGGCCCGTCTAGAGGCCTGGGGGCCGTGGTCTTGCTAACCACCTTCACCCTAAAGTGGTGGCTCATGTCCTAGAAAGCATATTACGGTTGCTGGGATGCCAACAGAACAAACGGGAGGGAGAATGATGCATGATTGAGGATGATGTCCCCAATGACCCTCCAGGTGGGGGGCCATCATGCCCATCATGGGGCACATCCTTACCGGGAGGCCTACCTGGGCTGAGGTTGCTCCCTCGGGTTGTGTTGTGGGGCGAACTGAGGTCATGTGTGGGGTCGCTGGTAATGAGGCAGGGAATCAAAATAGCATAAAATATTGCTGATGTGGCCTGTGCTGGCATGGCGTGCTGTGAGCACAGCACGCCAGGTGCCCTGGGCACCACCTCAGGTGGTCCACCTGCCACCTGCCCTGCCCACAAGCGTGTGCGCCGTACGCCTCCAACCTCGCTTCCAGAGGACACGGGGCCTGAAGTTAGCCCGGGCCATGTGGGATGTCGCCTGGTAGGTATGGGGGTAGGGTGTGGCCAGCCAGGCCATGCTGCCACGCGTCGCAATCACACAAATCATGTGCGTGCACCACCTCCCTCCCCTCCCCGCCTGCCTCCTCCTGCCCAGCTGCCAAGCGGCGCAGCCACATACCTGCTGGCACCTCAGTGGCAGCGGCACTGGTGGGCGGCATGGCGAGGCCCATGCTGGCTGCCGCCGTCGACGAGCGGGTGAAGGAGGCGATTTTGCAAGACTCATTCCCAGCACCAAGTGCTGACCAACAGGCATGCGCAGCTGGAGAAGCCCGGGCGGCGGCTCAAGGGCAATGTGACAGTGCTAGCGCTGCTGTTGGGTCCAGTTCCCCAGTTGATCTTGCGCACGCCCTAGGAGCAAGTGTGGGCTGCAGTGGCCTGCTCCCTGTTGTGTGGCGTGGTGGCTGCCGCCAAGGCGGCGAGCAACACGACTCAGATCAGCGGGGGTTGGTGAGCAGAGCAGCGCAGTGCCATGCCGATGCCCCTCAGCATTTGCGTCGCAACAAACTGCCTCCAAATTCACAGTTTTGGAGCCAGTGCAAGGGGCGGCGGCGGGGGAGTTGACGCGGCGGCGGGAGGAGTTGACGCGGCGGCGGCGGCGGCGAGGCGCCTCTTCCTTTTTCGATGGCAGCTGGGGCTGCATAGCGCTGGAGCGTCCTCAAGTTCCCAAAAGACAACAGATCAACAACTGAAAGTTGATCTTGGGGGCGGCGCTTACAAATGCTCAATAGCATATTCGCATCTGCAAATTCTGCCTGGTCGAGATGCCGCCGCCGCTCTCCCCTGCAGCTTTGTAAACCCCTTCCACAGTTGCCAGTGAGGCTGCTGCACACGTCTGACTGGTGGGGACGTGTGTAGGCTGAGCGCGAAGACCTAGCCCCGTCAAAATGGTGTACACGTGAGTCCTCGGCCCTCCTGCAGCCCATTGAGGCGGCGAGAGGGACGCTAGGCCTAGTGAGGGCGGTGTCATTCTTGCGCGCATGCCCTTTGGCATCTCGCACCGGTTGAACTCAACTGGGGGCTGAAGCAGCCTCATGCATGTGGCGTCAGGCGGTCTGAAGCAGCCACCGCCGCCCAACCGTAGCTCGACAGCCGAATGAGTGGACGTGTGCACAGCGGGCAGCCCTCCCCGAGCCCGCTGCACACCTGTGCCATCAGTAAAAGCGATGCCGGAGATGGCAGGGGTCGTCAGGTGGTGCTGCACTGGCGAGGTGGGCTCCATGAGCTGCATCGGGTCGGGTCGCGAGGCACCAGGGTGAGAGGGGTAGGAGTGGCAGGCAGCTCAGCAGCAGAGGGGTTCCCTGCAGCACTGCTGCCACTGCTACACGTGGCTGGTAGCAGGTTGGCAGGGCCAGGCTGGTGGGGGGTGCAGCCGCAGGGCGTTGAGGGTGCGGCACGTGCCGGGCGTAGACGGCGGGCGGCGGCGGCAGCATGGCTCCACCTGCTGGCACCATTCTGTTCTTCGCTCTGGTGCTGCCACAGGCTGCGCTTGTGAAGCCGCTACGCGAGGGAGGTGCCCTGAGGCATTCAGCCTAGCTGCAGCGCCGCGGCTAGCTGCCGGTATGACCTGGTTAGGGGTCTGCGGTCACCGAATGAGCCGCGGGGTCCAGCATCGCGGGCTCCTGGCCGCCGATCAGTTCGGCTGGCGCAGGGGGGGCCGCCTCGCCGTGCACGGGCCATTGCAGCTGTGTGCATGGCAACGCAGGAGGCACGTGCCGCTGGCGAAGGAGCGTTGCCTCTACCTCATGCGTACCTCGGGCAGGACATCCCAAAGGTAGCGTCCCAGAACACTCGGGCGACTCGCCCCTCGTTCCTGGAACACTTTGCACAATGTGTGAGGGCGCTGGCGATGCTACAGATCGCTACGGCGAGATGGCATGCAGCCCAAGCTGTACTCCTGCTGGAGCAGTGGGCCTTGAAATGCTGCAGCGGGTCATGAAAATGCTGGAGGGCGTGATGCAGCGGACGCAAGTTGGGCGGCTCATGTGGCAGCGGCGGGCATCGCCGACGGCGGCGGCGGCAGAGCGGGTGCAGGTCAGTGCTTGGCAATGCTTAGCCATGGTACTGCTGAGAGCAGCAGAGGGATGCATGCCATTATAGTGAGGTTGTTCATTGCAGACTGTCGCTTTTGTTGCGGGGATGAACAACGGCGGGTCGTATGCCATGTTGCCGGGTTGCCACTGGACCGCACGCCGCTTCGCTGATGCGCTCGATGCATTGTTTGTGGCGCAGGCACCATGAGCTGCAGTGCCTCCAGCGCCTAAGGATTGCCAGGTCACTTGACTTTGCTAGTTGGATGCGCCAGGTTGATGCTGTCAGCCCCGCCTGCGCCGCCTCCCAAGCCCCTTCTGGATTGCTTGCCGGCCCCGCAAGCTCAGTTTCAGCTGAAAGCACGTCAAGGTGCCAAGGTGCGGGCTGCTGAGGTACCATGCCCGCCCTTCTCTGCATCCCCACCCCAGGCCGCTGGCAGCTGCCAGCCACTTCAGCAGATCTGTGACATGCCAACATGCCCTGCTGGATGGCATGCCTGCCCGCTCCATGCAGATGCGGAAGCTGAGACTGCGGGTGCAGCCCGTGGACCTGCACCAGGCCTACACCAACAGCTACATTGCGGCCACCTTCATTTCCTTGCTGCCAATGGGCAGGCAGCTGCCAGCAAGCTGTATGTGGGCCGGCTGCAGGAGGTGCTTGTGGTGCCCATCGGCAACGAGCGGTGCGCGCTGCTGAGCATGTTCTGGTGCTGAGAGATGGTGGGGGACGAGCAGCTGCCAAGGCTGTGACTCGTGCATGTCGGCGGCCAACCCCTTCGCCGCCGACCGCCTGATTGAGGCCTGCCGCATCAACTCCCAGGTACGGCTGACCACCATCCCCGCACTGGCGGCACATGCACTCCAAGATCAAGGCAGCGCACGCCATCCCCGACCACCTGCTGCCTTGCTGGGCCCGCTCTGCCTTCCCGGCCTCCCAGGCTTTCTACCAAATTCGTTTTTCTGCTGTTTGCTTATACACGCGTGCGTATATACATGTAATGCATCGGTACCCAGCAGCAGCCTGCATGATTGAATCTCAGGTGTTTTGGTTGCGGGGCAGATCTTCAGTGCGGTGCCAGCGAGGCGCTGCCCATCCGCACATGCATATCCGCTGGTCCCGCTATGTTTCTCCCTGTTTCCCTGGAAACATACTCTTTTTTCCTCAAAACCTCACTTTTTCCTCTCACACACGCTGGAAACGAGGCATTTATGGTAGGGTTTGGATCTGATTGGGTGAACATCGTGCCGGCAGCCACGGTAGGTGGACCACCACGTCACGCACGTGGCGGAGGGTATCCGAATCGACGGCGCTGCAGTGCTGATGTGGCACAATGCTGGCTGTGCAGCCAACTGCCCTGCCCACCACCTCCGTGCCTGCTCCGTGCCTGGCTGCCTGCGCTGCGTTTTGCAAGCATGCCTTCCTGCCTGCCTGCATTCCTTCCTCCCTCGTCTGCACTGTCCACCTCTGTGCCTGCCAGGCGCCGCAATCACACACATCATGTGCGTGCACCACCTCCCCTCCCCGCCCCGCCTGCCCCCTCCTGCCCAGCTGCCAAGCGGCGCAGCCACATACCTGCTGGCACCTCAGTGGCAGCGGCACTGGTGGGCGGCATGGCGAGGCCCATGCTGGCTGCCGCCGTCGACGAGCGGGTGAAGGAGGCGATTTTGCAAGACTCATTCCCAGCACCAAGTGCTGACCAACAGGCATGCGCAGCTGGAGAAGCCCGGGCGGCGGCTCAAGGGCAATGTGACAGTGCTAGCGCTGCTGTTGGGTCCAGTTCCCCAGTTGATCCTGCGCACGCCCTAGGAGCAAGTGTGGGCTGCAGTGGCCTGCTCCCTGTTGTGTGGCGTGGTGGCTGCCGCCAAGGCGGCGAGCAACACGACTCAGATCAGCGGGGGTTGGTGAGCAGAGCAGCGCAGTGCCATGCCGATGCCCCTCAGCATTTGCGTCGCAACAAACTGCCTCCAAATTCACAGTTTTGGAGCCAGTGCAAGTGGCGGCGGCGGGGGAGTTGACGCGGCGGCGGGAGGAGTTGACGCGGCGGCGGCGGCGGCGAGGCGCCTCTTCCTTTTTCGATGGCAGCTGGGGCTGCATAGCGCTGGAGCGTCCTCAAGTTCCCAAAAGACAACAGATCAACAACTGAAAGTTGATCTTGGGGGCGGCGCTTACAAATGCTCAATAGCATATTCGCATCTGCAAATTCTGCCTGGTCGAGATGCCGCCGCCGCTCTCCCCTGCAGCTTTGTAAACCCCTTCCACAGTTGCCAGTGAGGCTGCTGCACACGTCTGACTGGTGGGGACGTGTGTAGGCTGAGCGCGAAGACCTAGCCCCGTCAAAATGGTGTACACGTGAGTCCTCGGCCCTCCTGCAGCCCATTGAGGCGGCGAGAGGGACGCTAGGCCTAGTGAGGGCGGTGTCATTCCCGCGCGCATGCCCTTTGGCATCTCGCACCTGCTGAACTCAACTGGGGGCTGAAGCAGCCTCATGCATGCGGCGTCAGGCGGTCTGAAGCAGCCACCGCCTACCAATGCCGCAATGGGGAGGCTGAGCGCGCACCATCTCCTGGCAGCTGCCCGCCTGGCGCCGCCATGTCGTCCCCTCTCGTACGGGAGCGTTATTTGTCCCTGCTCTCAACTGCATGCAGGGAGTTCACCTGGATCTTCGTCTGCTCCATCTTCCTGGCGCTGTTCGTGGCCTATGGTGAGCGCGCCGCGGGCCTGCCCAACACCTGTGCCTGCAGTTGCATCATGGTTGGCGGCCCAGCTCCCTCCCTGTCCCGCGGCCTCTACCACGCGGTTCTCACTGCTCTCGTCCGCTTATCCTGCAGGTATCGGCGCGGTAAGCGCAGGGACATCAGAGCGCCGCTGGCATGGCTGCAGTGTCCGCCTGCCTCGCCCTGCCCGCTGTGCCCCCCCGCGCCACCCTGCTCCTTTCCCTTGCCTGCATGCAGAACGATGTGGCCAACGCGTTCGGCAGCAGCGTGGGTGAGTGCCACTACAAGGAAACTATACAAGCACACGTGCCCTGGCCTGTGTTCTTCCCTGCCTGCACCCTGCTGTGGTGCGCCACCATATAGTTGCGCACCACACACACACACACACACATACATCTGCCCAACCCGCCTCCTCGCCCCTGCCCTCCCCTGCCTCCAGGCGCCAAGGCGCTCACGATGAAACAAGCGATTGTGATAGCGGCATTCTGCGAGTTCGGCGGCGCCGTGCTGCTGGTGCGTTGCCTGTATGCTACCTGGCCTGTTGCCCACGTGCCGCCAACATGCTGGCCAACACTGCGCGGGGCGCATGATTTGCAGGGTGCGGGTGTGACCGACACCATTCGCGGCGGGATTGCCGACCTCACCTATTACAAGAGCAAGCCCGACCTGTACATGTGAGCTGTTGGGGAACGAGCCGTGGCGCGCACACCTGGCTGTTTTCCCCGTACTTGCGTGGTCATGCCGAAAAGCAGGGCATGGCTCTTTGTTGGCACAGGCAGCACTGTGCCGCCGCTGCTGCTGCTTATGTGCCCCTGCCCGGCCTGCCTGCCTGGCCATGCCTGCAGGTACGGCATGTTGTGCGCATTGCTGGCCGCCGGCATCTGGCTGCTGCTGGCCACATTCCTGGAGCTGCCCGTGTCCACCACCCACTCCATCGTTGGTGCTGTCATCGGCATGTCGTGCGTCGCTGGTGGCTTCGACTCTGGTGGGTGTGCACTGCTGTCCAGACGTGTACTGACCATGCCTACACCTCCTGCTCATGCCGCTGCTGCCTTGTTGTTGCGGTGGGTTTTCCCATGCTGTGCAGCCCACCCAAATCGCAGTGCTGCACTCAGCCTGCCTGCCTGTGCTCCCTTCTTGCAGTGACCTGGAGCGCCGAGAAGGACAGCTTCCCCTTCCTCTCTGGAGTGTCAGTCATCGTGATTTCGTGGTTCACTTCACCAATCCTGGCTGGCGCGGTTGCCGCCCTCCTGTTCCTCTTCACTCGCCATGCCGGTGGGTTGATTGCTGGGGCGCTTGCACCGGCTACACCTCAGCCGCCTGCGGTGCTGTCGCTTCATACCACCCCGCTTGCGCGGCTCTCGCTTCACGCCAACCCGCGTCCCTCCTGGCTACCTTGCAGTGCTGCGCCGCAAGAACAGCTACAAGCTGTCTCTGTTTGTGCTGCCCGTCCTCACCCTGCTCACCGTCTACGTCAGCTGCTACTACATCATCCAGAAGGGCCCCAAGCTGGCCGACAAGGTGTCTGAAGAAACCAACGCCTGGATCTCCGCCTGCTTTGGTGAGGGCCGGCATCGGGCCGCTAGCCAGACGTGATGTCGTGTTTGCTATGCTGCCCCGTGGTGCTTAGCGCACCACAAAGCAGCACCAACTCACCCCTGCGCCTCCTCCGCTTGCTGCCTGCAGCCGTGGGCGGCGCCCTGATCGCCGGCCTGATCGGTGTGCCGCTGATCAAGCGCCAGGTGGAGCGCGACTGGGAGGAGTTGAACAAGCCTGAGGTCATCCCAGAGCTGCATGCCCCTGGTGCCAAGGACTCTGACGTAAGGCTGGGCTGGTGGTGTGGGGGAATGTCACGCATGCGACGCTGTTGCTCGCTTCGATTGCATTAATTGCTTGTTCCAGCTCCCCTGCTTTGCCTCGATTTGGGTTGGGTGGCTCACTGCTTGGAGCTGCCATGCAGGGCGTCAAGGGTGACATGGAGTCTGGCTCCGACACCGCCGCCAGCCCCGAGGACCTCGAGAAGCCCGCCATCGGCGCTGGCCACTCCTCCCGCACCCCCGCCATGTTCAAGGACATGCGCAAGTCGAAGCTGTTTGGCGCAGTCAGCAAGTCTTCCAACTTTGACATCCACGAGGTCATCGGGGAGGACAAGACCGTCAACGAACTGCACAACAACGCCGAGCAGTTCGACCGCAAGACCGAGATTTCCTTCAAGTACCTGCAGGTCTTCACCGCCATGTGCAACAGGTGCGCTGGGGCAAGGAGCCTGTGTGTGCGTGAGCGGCGCGGGAGCAGCGAGCCTTCTTGAATGGGTTTATCGCTTGTGATGGGGCCCTTGCTGCCAGCCACCGGTCTGCATGCTCCCTTTGTGCTGATGCTGCCCTGCCTCCCTGCCAATCGCAGCTTTGCCCACGGCTCCAACGATGTGGCCAACGCCGTCGGCCCCTTTGCCGGCATCTACGCCGTGTGGCAGTGCACGTGCGTCTCCTCCAAGTCCGATGTCCCCATCTGGTGCGGTGCGAGATAGTATGTGTGGGGCATGGGCTGGCCTGCTTGCACGCCAGCTCATGCTTGATGCTTGCATTGCCTGCTCTGCAGGCAGGCGTGCCACCACATTCTCCACATCTCGCTCCATTCATGCTCCCTCGTTCTCCCCCTTCTCTCTCTCCGCAGGATCCTGGTCATTGGCGGCGTTGGCCTGGTGATTGGCCTGGCCACCTACGGCTACAAGATCATGCGCGTGCTGGGCGTGAAGATGACCAAGCTGACCAACTCGCGTGGTGGGTGTGCTTGTGTGTGTAGGCCTAGCGCCAGCCATACTACAGTCACCTCGGCTGCCAGGAGCCTGCCCTTCCGTCCCTCCAATGCTGATGCCCGCTGATGCCGCATCTGCCTTGCAGGCTACTGTGTGGAGCTGTCTTCTGCTGCTGTCATCATTGTGGGCTCCCGCTATGGCCTGCTCCTCTCCAGCACCCAATGGTGAGTGAACCAGCAGGCACCTGGACCCCAATTTGACCCCGATTTTCATCAGGATGCTACCTTTGCTACACGCTAGGCACCTATCAATGGCTTGCCCTGCTGACCTGCACCAGCCCGCCATCGCTGCTCTCCACCCGCAGCTTGGTGGGTGCTGTCACCGGCGTGGGCCTGGTGGAGGCTGTGTCTGGCCGCAAGCCTGAGAGCTCGCACACCGACAACAAGCGTGCCTTCAACTGGAAGCTGCTGATCAAGGTGTGGCAGAAGTGCAGCGCTGTGCCAGCGTGGATGTCTCTTCATCTGAACTGGAAGCGCAACAGCACAAAAGCAAGCAGCATATGTTCAAGTTGTTGGCCTTGCAAGGCCAACAACGTCAATTGATCACGTGTGCCCCCTGCCCAAGGTCTGCTCGCGCGGCCTATCATAGCGGGGTGACTGTAACACAGACCTGCTTCCCATGTTGCTGTGCAGTTCTTCTTCGGATGGGTGGCCACGCTGGTGGTTGCTGCGACCACTTCTGCGGGTGGGGAGCAGTGGCAGCCAAGCCAAGTAGCTACCTGCAGCTGCTGAGGGTGCCAGACGCGGAAGGCATGTGCTGGCCTGATTCCTGCCCCCTTTTCTGCTCCCCTGCAGCCTTCACTGCCCAGGGCGTCTACGCTCCATTCCGCACCGACACCTACCAGCGCGTGGCTGACACGACAGAGCTCAACACCACCGCAAGTGAGGGCATTATGTGTTGCGCAGCAGCATGTTGGCAGCCGCCATTGTTTTTGCGCTGGGGTGCACCATCCTGCTCGCTTGTGCCCATGGGCTGGCCAGCCGGTTGAGTGCACAAGCTCCCCTCTGCTGTCCTCCTGCTCTGCAGACTACATTGCCGGCAACATGTCTGTGTATGCCGCTGCCACCAACAACGCGCTGTTCGCGGAGCAGGCCAACATCATGCTGGCCGCCTGCAACAGCGAGGCCGTGCCGAACCCTCCCACCAGCTTTGACTACATCAGCACGGTGAGATTGCTCTCGCCGGGGCTGTAGCGCAGCTGTGCCTCGGCTGTACTGCTGGGTGGTGCCGCAACTGCTGCTGTCTCAATTGGAATGCGGCGGGAGTGGAGCCCGGGCTCACCAGTGTTGCTGTCCCTCCCCTCCCTTGCGCCCGCAGTGCGTCGAAACTGTCATGAACGCGCTAAACATCACCACCTACCCCCAGACCGCTTGAATGTGGGCCTGAGCCGCTCCAGCAGCATCCCGCTGGCACCAGCAAGGCCACCTCAGCAGCACCCCACCATTACTGCTCCGCCACGCCTCACCGTGCGTCAACTTGCTGCGCTCTTGACCTGCGGCAGGCTTCTGGCCACTTCTCTTGGTGTTTCAGCCGGCTGGCATCTACATACCATTCTTGTGACCTGTCCAAATGGACAGCAACCTCTGCATATCCCTTGAAAACTTTCAATTCCTTTTCTCCCAATGTCTACCCACCCCCAACTCAACAGCCGCCTCCCTTTCGCCATGATGATCATCATCAGGCGTTACTTTTCATTTCAAAGCACTGAAGCACTGTGGCTGGGCAGCGTCTGTAAAGCAGCGCCAGCCTGGCGCCAGCGAGGCGACGGTGTGGAGCCCTAGAGCTCGCATCAGGAGGGCCCGGTCCCGACTCTGAATTCCAGACTGAGCCCTTGCAGCCAGTGCATCCCGCTCACTGGTCATCGGGGGGGAGAGCATATTTTTTGGGATCAACCAGGTTTTTGGCATCTGGCATATATGGCATGGAGAAAACGCACTAGCCATAGTCTTCTAGCCTTTAATTGATCGGGAGCAGCACGCAAAAGACCGAGCAAGATGGTGTACACGTGAGTGCAGGAATGCGGCGATATTGTGCCGCTCCGCGCGCAAAGCTGCGCGCAGTGCGCATCGCGCAATTCACTGTGGAGTGCATCTTATGGGCATGTTGCGAGGCGGTCGGTCGGCTGCCCAATTTTGGGATTTGCCAGCGACACGTGCCGCCGCCGCGTTTCTGGGTGTGCGTGCGTGCATATATATAGCGCTGATATGGGGCGCTGCATATCAGGAGCAACCCGCCGCACACAGGCTCAGGCTTGGCACAGCTGCTTGGGTGTGGCCCGGTGTCCCGCCAGCTGCCGCCCGCTGACCAACCCCGACAAAGTCATCATTGCATGCAGCGAGTTCACCTGGATCTTCGTGTGCTCCATCTTCCTGGCACTGTTCGTGGCCTACGGTGAGTGCGCCGTTGGCCTGGCCCGCAGTTGTGTGGTGGCCTGCAGTCGCACCGTGTTGGCTGGCGGCCCAGCTCCCCGTCCCGCGGCAGCTGCCTCCCAGCCGCTTTCTCAGCCCACTGCCTTTGTCGCCGCCCTGCCCTGCAGGTATCGGCGCGGTAAGCTCACGGGACATGATCAGAGTGCCGCTGGCATGGCTGCAGTGTCCACCTGCCTCGCCCCGCCCGCTGTGTCCACCTGCCGCGCCACCTGCTCCCGCCCCTTGCCTGCGTGCAGAACGATGTGGCCAATGCATTCGGCAGCAGCGTGGGTGAGTGCCACTAGGAGGAAACCATGCATGCACACCTGCCCTGAATTGTTCTTCCCTGCCTGCACCCTGCTGTGGACCCAACCCGACTCTTTGCTGCCCGCCCGCCCTCCCCCGCCCTCCCCTGCCAGGCGCCAAGGCGCTCACGATGAAACAAGCGATCGTGATAGCGGCATTCTGCGAGTTCGGAGGCGCCGTGCTGTTGGTGCGTTGCGTGTATGCCACCTGGCCTGCTGCTCGCCGCCAGCACGCTGGCCATGGCCAACGCCCTGCGGAGCGCATGATTTGCAGGGTGCGGGTGTGACCGACACCATCCGCGGCAAAATTGCCGACCTCAACTATTACAAGAACAAGCCCGACCTGTACATGTGAGCCCTTGGGGAACGAGCCGTGGCGCGCACGCCAGCCCGCTGCCCCTTGCGTGCTTCGTCCCTCTGCCGAAAGGCGGGGACACGCATGGCTTTGTGTTGGCACAGGCAGCACTGTGCCGCCGCTGCTGCTGCTTATATGCCCCCCTGCCCGCCCTGCCTGCCTGGCTGGCCATGCCTGCAGGTACGGCATGCTGTGCGCCATGCTGGCCACCGGCATCTGGCTGCTGCTGGCCACTTACCTGGAGCTGCCCGTGTCCACCACCCACTCCATCACCGGCGCTGTCATTGGCATGTCCTGCGTCGCTGGTGGCTTCGACTCTGGTGAGTGTGCACTGCTGTCCAGACGTGTACTGACCATGCCTACACCTCCTGCCCATGCCGCAGCTGCCTGGTTGCTGGTGGGTTGCTGTCCCATGCTGTGCAGCCCACCCGAGCGGCAGTGCTGCACTCAGCCTGCCTGCCTCAGCTCCCTTTGTGCTCCCTTCTTGCAGTTGTCTGGAGCGCCGAGAAAGACAGCTTCCCTTTCCTATCTGGAGTGTCGGTCATCGTGATTTCGTGGTTCACTTCTCCAATCCTGGCCGGCCTGGGCGGCGCCATCCTCTTCCTCTTCACTCGCCATGCCGGTGGGTTGATTGCTGGGGCGAATGCGCTGGCTACACCTCAGCCGCCTGCGGTGCTGTCGCTTCATACCAACTGGCCTGCACGGTTCTGGCTTCATTCCAACCCGCCTCCCTCACGGCTGCCTTGCAGTGCTGCGCCGCCAGAACAGCTACAAGCTGTCCCTGTTTATGCTGCCCCTCTTCACTTTGCTCACCGTCTACATCAGCTGCTACTACATCATCCAGAAGGGCCCCAAGCTGGCAGACAAGGTGTCTGACTCTACCAACGCCTGGATCTCCGCCTGCTTTGGTGAGGGCCGGCATCGGGCAGCAGCCAGCCATGATGTGTTTGCTATGCTGCCCCGTGGTGCATAGCGCACCACAAAGCAGGACCAATTCACCCTGTGCCTCCTCCGCTTGCTGCCTGCAGCCGTGGGCGGCTGCCTGATCGCCATCCTGATCGGTGTGCCGCTGATCAAGCGCCAGGTGGAGCGCGACTGGGAGGAGCTGAACAAGCCCAAGGTCATCCCAGAGCTGCACGCCCCGGGTGCCAAGGACTCTGACGTAAGGCTGGGCTGGTGGTGTGGTGGAATGTCGCGCATGCGAAGCTGTGTCTCCCTTGATTGCATATTGATTGGTTGATTTAGCTCCCCTGCTTTACCTCGACTTCGGGTTGGGGTTGCTCACTGCTTGGAACTGCCGTGCAGGGCGTCAAGGGTGACATGGAGTCTGGCTCCGACACCGCCGCCAGCCCCGAGGACGCCGAGAAGCCTGCCGTCGGCGCTGGCCACTCCTCCCGCACCCCCGCAATGTTCAAGGACATGCGCAAGTCGAAGCTGTTTGGCGCGGTCACCAAGTCTTCCAACTTCGACATCCACGAGGTCATCGGGGAGGACAAGACCGTCAACGAGCTGCACAACAACGCCGAGCAGTTCGACCGCAAGACCGAGATTTCCTTCAAGTACCTGCAGGTCTTCACCGCCATGTGCAACAGGTGCGCTGGGGCAAGGAGCCTGTGTGTGCGTGAGCGGCGCGGGAGCAGCGAGCCTTCTTGAATGGGTTTATCGCTTGTGATGGGGCCCTTGCTGCCAGCCACCGGTCTGCATGCTCCCTTTGTGCTGATGCTGCCCTGCCTCCCTGCCAATCGCAGCTTTGCCCACGGCTCCAACGATGTGGCCAACGCCGTCGGCCCCTTTGCCGGCATCTACGCCGTGTGGCAGTGCACGTGCGTCTCCTCCAAGTCCGATGTCCCCATCTGGTGCGGTGCGAGATAGTATGTGTGGGGCATGGGCTGGCCTGCTTGCACGCCAGCTCATGCTTGATGCTTGCATTGCCTGCTCTGCAGGCAGGCGTGCCACCACATTCTCCACATCTCGCTCCATTCATGCTCCCTCGTTCTCCCCCTTCTCTCTCTCCGCAGGATCCTGGTCATTGGCGGCGTTGGCCTGGTGATTGGCCTGGCCACCTACGGCTACAAGATCATGCGCGTGCTGGGCGTGAAGATGACCAAGCTGACCAACTCGCGCGGTGGGTGTGCTTGTGTGTGTAGGCCTAGCGCCAGCCATACTACAGTCACCTCGGCTGCCAGGAGCTTGCCTCTCATCCCTCCAAATGCTGATGCCCGCTGATGCCGCATCTGCCTTGCAGGCTACTGTGTGGAGCTGGCTGCCGCTGCCGTCATCATTGTGGGCTCCCGCTACGGCCTGCCCCTGTCCACCACCCATTGGTGAGTGAACCGGCAGCTACCCTGGACCTGGTTTTGATCAGGCTTCCACTTTGCTATAAACCAGGTGCCTAACAATGGATTGCGCTTCTGATCTGTGCCGGCCCGCCACCGCTGCTCTCCACCTGCAGCATGGTGGGTGCCGTCACCGGCGTGGGCCTGGTGGAGGCTGTGTCTGGCCGCAAGCCTGAGAACGCACACACCGACAACAAGCACGCCTTCAACTGGAAGCTGCTGATCAAGGTGGGGCAGAGGTGTTGCGCTGTGCCGGCAGGGCTGGCTTTTTGTCTGAACAAGAAACTGTGCAAGTTCCTTTCCTGCTGGTAAGCACACTGGAAGCGCAACAGCACATAGCAAGCAGCATATGTTCAAGCTGCTGGCCTGCTTCTCTTGTTCCTGTGCAGTTCTTCTTCGGCTGGGTGGCCACGCTGGTGGTTGCGGCGCTCACTTCTGCAGGTGGGGTACTGTTAGCAGCCAAGCTTGGATGCAAGCTGCAGCTCCTGAGGGTGCCTCAAAAGGAAGGTCGGTGCTGTCCTGATTCCTGTCCCCTGCTCTGCTCCCCTGCAGCCTTCACCGCCCAGGGCGTGTACGCTCCGTTCCGCACCGACACCTACCAGCGCGTTGCTGACACCACAGAGCTCAACACCACCGCAAGTGAGTGCACGCCAGCATGTTGGCAGCCCGCCACTGTTTGCGTTGGGCTGCACCATCCTGCGCGCCTGTGCCCAGCCGATTGAATGCACACGCCCCCCCTCCCCTGTCCTCGTGCGCTGCAGACTACATTGCCGGCAACATGTCTGTGTATGCTGCTGCCACCAACAACGCGCTGTTCGCCGAGCAGGCCAGCATCATGCTGGCGGCCTGCAACAGCGAGGCCGTGCCCAACCCTCCCACCAGCTTTGACTACATCAGCACGGTGAGTGGCTCTTGTCGACCTGTAGCGCAGCTGTGCCTCGGCTGTACTGCCCGCAACTGCTGCCGCGGCATTTGTTGGGAGTGGAGCCCAAACTTACCAGCGTTGCTGTGCGCCCTCGCCCCCTCGTTTTGCACCCGCAGTGCGTTGATACTGTCATGCTCGCCCTCAACATCACCACCTACCCCCAGACCGCTTAAGCGGCCCGTCACGCCAGCATTGGCGCCCCCATTGTCACCCGCCCCCATTGTCACCCGCGCTCGCCAGAGCAACCACTGGCTGGCACTGCATCCTTGCTTGCCAGCCTCCCTCTGAACCCAACGTGCCTAGGCGGGGACGGCACAGCCTGTTGTCGTCCCGTCGAGCAAACACCCCCACGTCAGCGACCTTGAATTTCTTGTGCCTAGAGTTGATGATATTATCCCATGTTTCTTTCTGCCACCTGCTTTTGTTACCCGCCCGTTCCCTGTTGTCTTGAATGGGTGCCCCGGTTGTGCACATTCAGGTGGAGGAAACGCATGTTACCTACTTTGAGCGGGCAGGGAAAAGGGGCTGGAGCGGTAGCTGGGCGACAGAGGGAGCTGGGCGACATAGTCTCAGCCATGGGGGTTGATGGTGGATGGTGATGTTGGAAGGGGTTGGTGGGGTCGAGCTGTTCCTGCTGACTGGGGGAGGTGTTTCTGCGACTGTGGTGCCTTTGGCGCCGCCATACGGCTGGCACCTGCACGCCTCCACCCCGGCGCGCCGCTTTGCGGATTGCGCCACTCCTCTGCAGCCACCACAGCACCCACTCAGTCAGTCAGTCAGTTTACAGCGCTGCAGCAGCCATGATGGTGCCGCAGATGCGTCACTTCAGAAACCGTTTTGAAGTTGCGAAAGGGGAGGGGAAGAGTCGAGAGAAAGAAACAATAATGCCAAACCCAACCAGACTATTTGCGGGGGAGGGAGCGGGGGTCAACATTCTCGCCGCGGGCGGCTCTGTGCCAAGGGGTGCGGTGTGGTGCCACCTTCAGCCAGCGCCCCTGAGCCAAGCCGACCTCCGTCACATCGTTTAAAATGGCGTCTTCCCGCGAGCGCCGTGGGGGCTTGCCCGCAGGCCTCGTCCCCGGCAGCTGGGCAGTGAGCATCTGCTTCGGCAGCCGCGAGTCGGCCATGCGGTGGCAGTGCCCCAGCCACTGCAGCCGGCGCTGCCTCAGTATCTGCTGCATGGGTCGCTGTCCGCATCGCTGCAGCACTGCCTGGTTCTGCCAGCGGTCGCGGCGCGTGATGCCTAGCATGCTGCCACAGCACCCAGCCTCCTCAAGTACCTTTTCGCACATGGCAACCATGCAAGAACCCGCCCGGTGGAAGGGATAGCAAGAGTGCCAGCACACGAGGGCTGCTCCCTCTGCTTTGCGCTGGCAGCAGCAGCGCCATCAGCCTGCGGCAGAAGGGGCACCATCGCTCACCAGTGCCAGCTTCATATGCTCCTCAGCTGCATGCTCCTGCCACGCTCGCTGCGCCGCTTTCGATCAGGGCTCAGCATGGCCAGCAATGCCCTGCCCGCCAGGCCGCTGGCTGCTGCCCCCTGTCCACTGATCCATGGCGGCTGCCACAGCCACGCCAGCAGCGAGACGACCAACCACCAGGTTGCAACTGCAGCACCTGACAGCAGCTCGTCGCTGCCTAGCTGCCGTGAGTTGCTGAACACGCCCGCCACTGCCGCCGGCGTTGAACGGCAGGGGCATGGGAAGTTCTGGGTCTTGGCTGGCCACGGCTGAAGGCTCCTAGTCGGGCTGCAGGTTGCTCTCCGTGCTGGAGCTGCTGGCCTGGCGCTGCAGCACGCATGGTGAACTGGCCGCCTGTGAGGCAGGCGCCTGCTGCTTCGGTAGGCCTGCTGTGGGAAGGGGGGCGCAAGGTGCACGGCACTCAACACCTGCTGCCTCTGCTGGCGCCGTCACCTCTGTTTCCTCGCCCTGGCGCGCTGTGCATGCTGCTCTGCACACTCCCGGAGCTGCTGCACGTGGGCCTGCCCCTCTGGCTCTGGCAGCGCACGCTGTGACGGGGGCTGCGGCTCGCACACCGCCTCCATCGCCATCGCCACGGCCTGCTGCCCTTCGCCCGCATTTAGCCACTTCCCCCGTTGTTTGATGCCTGTCCACCGCTTCCGCTGCTTCCCCTGCTGCTTCCCCTGGGCCATCACTGCTGCAGTAGTTGCTACAGCCGCACTGCCGCTGCTCCTGCCGCCGCCGCCAGGCTGCCAGCGCCCGGCGCCTCCAGCGACCCTGCGGCGCACGTCAGGCAGCGATTTGGCGGATGTCGTGGTTGGTGCAGGTGCCCAGGTGGGCAGGAGGCAAAGCTCGACTGGTACACCATGACCACGATGCTGGCAGGCACGCCGCTGCCGCTTCCTAACCGCCCCAGACACTAAGGAGCGCACAAAAGGTGTGGCGATTGGGCTGCCGTGGGCCCAGGTGGCGGGGCGGGCACCTGCCGCTCACACCAACGGTGAGCGGCAGTTGCCCTCCCCGCCCATCGGCCGAGACCCACTTCAGCCAGAGTTTTGGCGCCCCGCTGCGCCGCGGCCCTGGATGCGATTCGAGAACTGACCTTCACTGTGTCTTCCACAAATCGCCGTGTTTCACCCCAAACGCCCGCCAGAGGGCACACCAGCGCCCGCCGCTGGCAGATGTCGAGCAGGGGCTCAGCGCGTGGGCGGGAGGCCTGAGTGTCTCAGACGACAGCTTACATACATGAGCAGTGGATTGCGGGAGGAATGTACGAGATGTGCCCAATCCTGGGTACCAGCCCCCCCCAGCGCCTGCTTTCATCTGGGCTTTCCAACAGCGCTGATTAGCGCTAAAAAGCACCAGCGCTGATCAGCGAGGTTGATTAGCACTAGCGCTGGCAGAGCGCTGCCCGGCGCTGGTGCTGCTGGGCGCTTCCAGCTGGGGCCATTCCAGCAATGGTGGCCACCATGGGAGGCCTCCCATGGGAGGCCTACAGGTGGGGGACAGGAAGGCATGAATTGCACGAGACTCCGCAGAGCACCCTCCGGCCCCGCATGCATAGCCTGCCGGCTTGCGTGACAACCGCCGGTTGCGGCGGGACGTTCTGCTAGCCTGAAGGAGGGCTGGCATCACAGGTGCGCAGACCTTGGCCATGACCTCTTGCTCTGGCTTCCTGCGGGTGCTCCGACAGCGTTCTAACTATTCTATCCTGTTTAGAGACTACAGAGAAGCGAAATTGTGGGGTTTGTCGGCACCTGCCAGAGTTTCGAAACCCATTTGGGCACGCAGCCGTCCCGCTGTACTTACGGCAGGTTGCTGCTGCCTTCCGCCCTCTGGTGAGACACCAGATCGAAGTGAGCAGACCCCGCTGTGCAGCCTGCCTTGGCGGCCCGCCAGCGGCAGCGGCGGCGGTCACTGACATCCATGCTCGCATGGGCGGCCCCCAGAGGCAGCGAGACGAAGACACACGATCCTCCTAATGAACATCATACGATACACGATATACGATCCATTCATTCATTCAGCACACAGACCGGCCGCCTCTTGCTCGAGGGCGGCCCACTTTGGCCTGGGCAGCCCGGGCCGCCCTCCCCCCCGGGCGCATGTTCGGTGTTGGAGGGGTGTGCCCAGCGATAGGGGGCCCCTGAAGGCATGCGCCGAGGCCGGGAAGCGTGGTTCGGCGCTGCTGCACGCTTGGCGATTTGAACAGAACCACGTGCCGCCGAGCTGCGGCCGCAGTTTCCGGCCCACGGTCTACGGTCGCAGCCACGGGACTCGGCGGCACGGCGTTTGGGCCCAAGCTTGCTGCCGCCGCCGCCGTGCCCGGGGGGCAGCGCGGCGGCGGCGGGGGCACGCTGCGACGCCCCCGTGCTGCCGAGTTGCGGCCGTAGTTTCCTGCCAGAAGCCCACGGCCACAGCCACGGGACTCGGCGGCACGGCGTTTCGGTCCACGGCTTGCTGCCGCTGCCGCCGCCGCAGGGGTGCTGCCTGCGGCGGCGGCGGTAGCGCACGTGGCAACCCCCCGCGTTTCCTTGCCTCCCATCCACCGGACCCCGTCCTGCGCTTCACTTTGTTTAGGGAGGGGCTGCTCACTGCTCATTGCTCATTGCTCATCGCACACTGCTCAACGCTCATTGCCCTATATCCCACCCAGCCGCAGGACTCCACTGCCGCCCGCGCCCCGCCCCATCTGGCCGCTTGCGCGCCCCATCCCCCCTCGATGGGGCCCGCCCACACCGGGGCCTCCCCCCTCCCGCCCACTGCTTTCTCAACGGCCCCGAGCCGGGGCTGCCCTCATTGCATACATAGTGCGCCTTTCCCTGCTTTTCTAGTGACCTAGCGTTCCGCACTGCCGTTTGGCCAGCCCATGCTCCCGTACCGTTGCGTTTCTCCCCAATGCGCCATGCCACTTTGCCAGTCATACACACGTTTCGATGCGTGCCCTGTCAGCTGCTTGCGTTGCATGTCGCCTTGCTCCACCCCTGTTTTATTGCTTTCTCTGCTTTCGCCCGGTTCCCGTCCCGTTTCGGCGGGGAGTCTATGTTGCAAGCTAGTTCTTGCTTTACCAGACTTTAAGCCCACACAAGCAACACGCGAAAGATGGTTGAATTGTGCATGAATCGAAAAGCCCCAGCAGCGCCAGGCAGCGCCGGCGCTAGTCAGCGCCGCTGGAAAGCCCAGAAGTTCTCCGAGACGGTAACCGGGGGAGCAGTCAGATTATGGCACGGTTGAACAGTTGGCGCCGATGGCACTGCCCCCTGCCGTGCCGGCAGGTGTGTTGTGGGTTATGCAGCCTGTCTTGCTTGGGCGGCTGACGCAGTCAGTCAGTGGGACTGCCGCCGTTGCCCGCTGCGTCATGCTGCGGCCGGCTTGGAATCCTGGGTGCAGATGCGAGCGGCGGTCCTCGGCTGCTTCTCTTATTTTTCTAACATCCTGCTTCTGTCAGCACGCCCTGACACGGCATGGCGCCCAAGAAGCCGAACGCCGCACCAAAACATCCCGCGCCTGTCGCAGCTGGTGAAGAAGCGCGCTGCTGGCTGATGGCAGCATGCAGGCGTGCTGAAAAAATGTCCGCCGGCCTCACCTGCCTTGCTTGGCCGATGGACGCCATCAGCCGCTCGCCGCCGCTCACCTATCTCACGTTTGCCGGCTTCGGCCCTTTGCCCGCCTTTTAGAGGCCAAGCTCAATGGCGAGATCAACGAGATGCGGCAGTTCTGCCAGCAGACAGCGCTGGTGCAGCTAGCTTACTTCGCCCTGCGGACAGCGTGGCATGTCGGCGTGCCCGCCTACTTGGGGGGTGAGCCCAGCTGTTGCAGCAGGGTGCAGGCTGTGCACGAGCAGCGTGCGCGCTGATGATAACTCAGCCCCTGTCTCCGCCCGCATATATGTATGCAGCCCGCCAGTTTGTGCCACTCGTCCTGGAGGTGGCAGCGGCGGAGCTTCTGGTGTTCCTGCTGTTCTGGGTGGCGGGGTCCTTTGGGCCTGCAGCCCAAGAGCGCTCCTGGCTGTTCAACATCTACAACCTGCTAGCACTGATAGTGCTTGCCAAGGTAAGCGCGGCAGGGCGGCCAGTCGTGGCGTCTCACATGTGCATGCAGGGCACGCCCAGTCTGGAGCATGGCTATCGCCACATGTCTTTACGTTCTGCACCTCGTTGTATCATGCTGCAGTGTGCCACCGATTCCTACATCTATAGCTTCGCCCCGCACATGTGGCAACACTACAGGTGGGCTGCACAGTTGTCGCGCAGCCAATCCTGGCCTGTTGCATGCCTGCTTGCCTCCCATCGCGCCACCCTTGGGCATCGCCTGCAGCTACTCACCCACCTGCTGATGCTGCAGCCCCAAGTTGCCCTGGGGCGTGCCGACTCTGATTGCCGCCAGCCTGCCGGAGAGCTTGGTGCTTCTAGGCATGCAGCCAAGCTCTCTGATGTCCGGGCTTCAGGTGCGGGAAAGTATTTATGCCTGTGTGTTCTCTGCTGCTGCTGCTGCTCACGGTAGGGGGAGGTGGTCGGGACACAGGGCCCGAAGGCCAGCCGTAGTAAAGCAGCCGCCCGTAGCAGTGTCGCTGCTGAGCACCAGGCGGGAGCGCCAGCAGCCCAACGCGCCGCGCTGCAGGGTGGGTGGGGGGCAAACAGCACAGGAGCAAGCAAGAGAACGATCCCGAAACCGCACAGAGTGCGGCCTCTGGCCGAGGGCGGCAGCGTGACTGCCGCCGCTGTGGCGCTGTACAGCGGTACAGGGCGCCGCTCGCCGCTGGCAGCAGAGAACAGCAGTTACTGTGAACAGTAACATATGAGGGTTACAAGGTTTTTTTGCTGCCCTTGTGGTTGGGAGGCAGCACAGCCAACACGACTGCCATTGCAAACCGCAGACTCTGGAGCGCTGGGCAGACATCTTGGCGATCTTGGCCTGCTTCCGTGGGGTGCGGACTGGTGAGCCTTGGAAGAACGCTGTGGCAGCGCATCAGCTGCGGGTCGTTAGCGCCCCTCAGTCAGCTGGCCAACTGCAGTTGACTAGCCCTCACACACACTCTGCCATGACTGGAGTTACTGGCGTGGCCTTGGGCTTGCTGGCGTGACGCTCTCCCCCACCTGTGACTGTTATGCTGACCCTCACCCCCGTGTGTGGGTGTTGTGCTGTAGGCAAGGCACTCATGAAGGCGAGGCGGGTGCAGGTGAGCAGCCTGGCCTCGCAATTGTACATACAACCGGGCATGGCAGTTGTTCTGTTGGCCAGGCATCACCCGGCTCTGCAAACTCTTGCTGCTGCTCACAACACCTTTGCTGTTGACTGTGCCGCCGCAGAGGAGGGAGCTGCAGAAGAAGAAGGATGAGTGAGTTGTGGTTCCGCCCGGGCACGTGATATGAGCCACACACGGACAGCAGGGAGCAGTGGCCCCTCCCTGGCCTTCAACAACCAACCGCCTTGCTCTGTTCCCGCCTCAGGGCGGACTGGGCATGTCTTTCTTCCTTCCTTTCTTTCCTTCCCTCGGCTGTGCTGCCGGTATTTGTAATCGTGAGTCGGCAGCTGTAAACTGCAGATTGATGCCCCATGCAAGTCCACTGTGTCTTGTTTTGTAACCAGGCAGGTGATCTTACGCTGAAGACATTACACTTCTGGTAGCAATGATTGAATCAAGGGGGCACATTGCGCACCAGGAGCATGTGTGCAAAGAAAAAGCGCAAGAACTCCCGCTGTCCGCTGACTGACTGAGATTACAGAGAACCGGGCCCCTTAAAGGGTTGGGGACACACAAGCCGTGCCCACTAGCTCTGGACAATATAAGTATGAAACCAACCAACAGACAGGGCGGCGGAGCGCGGGGCTGCGAGGAGCCGATCGGGCACAGCGGGCGGCAGGGAAAGCGGAGGGTGCCTGGGAGCCAGCCCAGTGACTGTCAGAGAGGTGTGAGGAGGGGAAACGGGGGGGCAAAACACAGGGGAAAGAGGGGGATCAAGGGCCAGGACCGCCAGCAGGCGGCGCAAGCGGCTCAGAGACGCCACCCACCCCGGCACAGAAGCTGGGGGAGCGGCCAGGCGGGCGGGCGGGGACCGCCTCAGAGGGCAGGCGACGCAGGGGGCCAAGGCTCAGGTCAGATCACACGGGAGAAGGGGGCAGCCAGCTGCCGACGAGGAGACGGGAGAAAGGGGGATGCCAGAGAAAGCACACCGAGCGGCAGCGCGGCAGGCACAGCAGCGCACGAGCAGGCACAGGCGCACAGGCACTGCAGCACACCGCCGGCGGGTCCCCGATGGCGTGACTGCGGAGAAGCGCAACCACCTCCACTGGTTCCTAGCACACCTGGCACGGCGCAATAGCCAGCCAAGGGGCACCACAGCCAGGCAGCAGCCGACAGCGCACGGGCAACCAGATGCAAGCCAGCACAGCAGGCGAGCAGCGCGGCAGCAAGGCGGCGGGCAGGCAGAAGATGGGCAAGAGGGAAGACGGACACGAGAATATGGGTGAGGAGGGCACAGTCAAGAGAAAGGCGGGGAAGGGCCAGCGGAGCTGACTGACGATCAAGCAGGGGGAGGAACAGGAGGGGGGCGGAGCTGAACGCGGCCGCCGGTAGAGAAGAAAAAGGGGTGGGCCGGGCCAAGGCTGCCAACCCAAGAGGCGGGGGCACAGCCCAGGGCCTCAAAATCAGCGAGAAGGGACCAGAAGGAGTGGAGAGCCGCGCGGCGGGCAGCCTCCAGCGGCGTGGCTGCGGGCTGCTGTGCCGCGGGGCCAGGCGCGGCCGGCTCCAGCGGCGGGGGCGGCGGGTCTGCTGTCCGCAACACAAGCGTGGCATTGGGGGGAGTTGGGGGGATAGGAGTTGGCAATCGGGCGACAGCAGCAAGTATTTGTAGGGCGGCGGCAATTGCAAAATCCAAGCCTTATGGTAAGAGGTCGAGCCTGAGGTTGGCAGCCACCGGAAGTCGACAGGGATAACGCAGCCGACAGTGTGGGGGCAACAGGTGGCGACAAAGTTTACTTTGGGTGATGTTGTTGTTGAGTTTCAGCCTGGCATGCCTGGCAGGCTGGGTTGCGGTGTGCCACGGGGCAGCACGCATTTCAAGGCACGCGCTCAGGTTCAAGCCGACACCTGGTACTCGCCGCCAGGGAAGCCAGTGGCATCATACAGGTTCTTCATGGGGCTGTAGATGCCAAAGGCGGTGAGGCCTGCAGCGGCGGCCATGGCTGTGCCGAGCGTGATGAACATGGCGCAGATGGTCTGCAGAACCATGAACCAGTTGACGCCCCGCCAGCCCTCAAAGCAGCCCACCGCCACCGCGGCAAACACGCAGGTGTGGGAGGTTGAGATGGGAATGCCCCAGCGCGCGGCAAAGATGACCGTCATGGCGGTGGCAAGCTCAATGCAGAAGCCTGCAGAAACGAGGGGCGGGGACAAGGGTGGTGTTGAGAGGCATGAGCAGGCAGGCGCCCAGGCGGCACCGGCAGGCGGCGAATCCTGCCCAGGTGTCTGTCCTTCTGCTGCAGCCTGTCCCCTCATCCCTGGCCAAGCACATGTGCAGGCACCCACCGCGTGAGTTGGAGATCATGACAGACTTGGCGCCGTACAGGCCCATGATGTGCCAGCCGTAGGTGGCCAGGCCGATCACGATGCCCACGCCGCCAAAGGCCAGAATCCAGGTGGGCACCGGCACCTTGCTGCCGGGCACCTCGGAGTTCTGCCAGATGTAGTAAACGGCGGCAAAGGGGCCCTGCACGCAGGGCGAAGGATGCAGGACGAGGAGGAGGCCAAGCATGAGAGACGGCTGGAGACCGGCAGCAGGTGTGCCTTGTGAGGAATAGAGGCTGGCAGGACAGGCAGCTGCAGGTGGTGCGACCCGCCCAGGAAGGGAGAGCTGGGGTCGGCAGGGCACCCGCGGGCAGGCCAGCTCACCATGGCGTTGGCCACGTCGTTGGCTCCGTGGGCAAAGGACATGGTGCAGGCGCTGAACACCTGGAGGTACCTGCAGTGCAGGAGGAGGAGGAGGACAGGCACGGCAGGCAACACACGTTGGGTGGGTGAGAAGGGAAGGGCAAAGTGGGGCACACCAGCCGGGCCCGCCTGCTGACAGCTGCTGGGCGGCGCACAAGTCGGCGGCGGCATTGCAGTGTGCCACACCATTCCCTGGCTGAGGTGAACGATAGGAGCAGAGGCAAGCAGACGAGCAGCCATGCGAAAAAAGCGCACTTGAACACGGACTCGGCGCGCCAGTCGAAGCGCTCAGCGTTGTCCCAGATGCGCGAGGCGCGCTCGTTGTAGTTGTCAGAGTCCTTTTGCAGCACAGAGTGCCTGCAGGGTGGTGGGGGAGCGAGGGGGGCGGATGGGGAAGGAGCAGATAGCATGCAGCTGAATGAACACCTGGCACCAGGATGCAGGGCAGGGAGATGAACATGCACACGCCCGGCGAGCGCTGACGCCAGGCTGGCGGCGGAGCTGGGCTTAGTACGAGTGGCCAGGTGCAGGCAGCTTGCCAGTGTTTGCTGCTGGGTGCCGCCCACCCCAGCCCTCCCTGTCGTAGGTTCGGCTGTAGGTGGACCCCTTGAAGAACTTGTTTTTGGCCCCCGCCTTGCCGACCTTGCTTTCCCTGGCCCTGCTGGCGGCCGGCATGAGCGTGGAGGGCGTCTTCGGAATCTTGGCCTCCTCCTCGCTGCCATCCTTGCTGTCGGGGTTCTTACCGGCCTCGGCAGCAGCAGCCTCGGCAGCGGCACTGTGGGGCAGGCGAGCGGGGAGGTGGCAGGCGGAGAGCAGCGGGTGAGCCAGGCTGCTGGGCGGCTGCGGTGCCGCAACGGGCTGCGAGGCATACATGCAGGCGTGCACAGAGGGCAAGGTGATAGCTGCGCCGGCTGGCCGGTTCCCAGGAAGGCGGTCAGCAAATGGCGCGCGGAGCCTACTCACTGCTCCGCATCCTTGACGGCGATGGTGCGCTTCATGAAGGGGATGAACACCAAGGCGCTGGAGACGGAGATGCCGACAGCGACGACCACGCTGATCCAGACGGCGGTGCCATTGGCGACGGTGTCCCACGTCTTGTTCTTGTTGCCGGTCTGGATGACGGTGAAGACGATGACAAACACGGTGAGCCAGACGGCGAGGGGCATGACCCACAGGGCGCGGGTGAAGGGGTCCTTGGAGCGCATCACAAACGTGCGGACCAGGAAGAAGAGCGTGCCGGAGAAGAACATGGCCAGGATGGGCGACGTGCCCCAGCCCATGAACAGAGCAGACGCGCCCCTGCAGGCAGGCAGAGCAGAGCAGGAGGGCGGGAGGAGGGCGGGTCAGGGAGTGAGCAGCAGGCTGACTGGTCCATTCTTTCGAGTCTTTTCTTTCATGTCCCCCCAAAGCAAAGGTGAACTGGTCAAGCCGGCCAGATGCTTGCAAGCGGGAGCGGGGCTGCCAGCAGTGCGCGGGCGGGCAGTGCTCAGTGCGCGGGCGACTGCTGGGAGTTCTGGGACTAATCGGGAGCCGCAGCTGTGCTCACTTGATGTACGGGAAGGTGGAGGAGGAGGCGCTCCAGATGACGGCATCGCTGCCGTATGAGGCGAGCGCCATGCCCATCAGGGCACCAGCGGTGGTGTGGGTGGTGGACACCTGCAGGAGAGAGAGCAAGCAAGGGGGCGAGGGTTGGGGCAGGCGCGGTGACAGGATGAGGGCAGCTGCCAGGACGGGCGGGCACGGCAGGCAGCGGTGATGCAGGCACAATAGCAGGTTGCGGCAGCACACCTGCAGCTCCAGGGTGCAGGAGAAGATGTCCCAGAAGGCGGCGGCGATCATGACGCACAGCATGCCGTACCTGAGGGAGAGAGGGCAGGGAGCGGGAGCATGGGGCGGCAGCAGCAGTGCCGTGGCATGTGAGCAGCGTGAGATGAATGTTTGTGCATGCATTGGAGCCAAGCAGTGCAACCATGGGCAGCAAACATGGGAGCAGCATGCGGCGAGAGGCTGGCAGCACGTGCGTGGGCAGCCTCGCGGGCTGCCGGCAGAGCCAGAGGCGTGCGCGCTCACATCAGGATTTCGGGCCGGGATTCGAAAGCTTTGGGGTCTGCCACTCCAGACTTCATGGTGTCTGTGTTGTTGGCTCCCAGCAGGACAGCTCCTAGGAACTCAAACACAGCCGCCACTAGCACTGCTTGCCAATACTTGAGTGCCTTGGCGCTGACGGATGTGCCAAAAGCATTGGCCTGCAGAAAGGGGAAGGGCAAAGTAGGTGCAAACGGAGGGCGCTGGGCCGCCGACGTGGTTGCTGGCTTGGTAAGCGGTGCCTGCCCTAGTTTAAGTGTCTGCCAGGCGTACCAGATCGTTGGCGCCGATTCCATAGGACTCGGCAAAGCCCTGCAGAGACGAGTCAAAAGCTGGGTTAGCGGAACTGCAATGCTGGCCCGCCTTCCATCTGCGGTGCTGCAGCTCCGCAAACAGCCATAGCACTTGCCGCCAGCCTTTCTCACCACTATGGTCGCGACCGCGAAGATCCATGTGTATGGGCTGCGCGACAGGGACACGGGCATTCATTCATTCAGCACACAGCCCGGCCGCCTCTTGCTCGAGGGCGGCCCACTTTGGCCTGGGCAGCCCGGGCCGCCCTCCCCCCCGGGCGCATGTTCGGTGTTGGAGGGGTGTGCCCAGCGATAGGGGGCCCCTGAAGGCATGCGCCGAGGCCGGGAAGCGTGGTTCGGCGCTGCTGCACGCTTGGCGATTTGACCAGAACCACGTGCCGCCGAGCTGCGGCCGCAGTTTCCGGCCCACGGTCTACGGTCGCAGCCACGGGACTCGGCGGCACGGCGTTTGGGCCCAAGCTTGCTGCCGCCGCCGCCGTGCCCGGGGGGGCAGCGCGGCGGCGGCGGCGGCACGCTGCGACGCCCCCGTGCTGCCGAGCTGCGGCCGTAGTTTCCTGCCAGAAGCCCACGGCCACAGCCACGGGACTCGGCGGCACGGAGTTTCGGTCCACGGCTTGCTGCCGCCGCCGTCGCAGGG